AGAATTTTTTTTTTTTTTTCTTGGTCAGCAAAGAAACACAAGGATCTTGGGTTATTCTCTTCTGATAACTAATTCCAGGTTGATGTTTTGTTTTCAATTGCTACCTTCGATTGATCTAATTTGGAGCTATATTTGTTCAAATTAATAGTTTGCTTTTCTGAAAAGAATTCATAGTAGAAGACTCTCTTCCAATCACATTGTAGACACATGAAGACCAGCTTTTAGCATAATTATTTTAGAAGCTGGTATCCCATAATCCCTTGCTTCTGCATTGTTGTAAAGTATTCATTTTTCATTACTCTTTATAACTTGCTTAAAAAAAATGGATCATTTTAAAGTTTTTGTTTCCCCAACATTAATTTATGTAAAAGTCATACCTCAACTAAGTTGAGATGGTGCAAATGATCCTCAATATTTGATTTGGATATTTATATTCTCAATGTCTACATTTTATTGCTATCAACCTCATTTGATCTACTTAGTCTGGATCACTGTTCAATATGAGCATTTCCAAGCCACTTTTGATGTGTTCAGTCATTCACAGTACCTTCTGTATAAACTACACAAACGTGTTTGAAACTCATTTTTACTATATGCCAAAAATGTTGCTTATTTTCTTTCATTTCGACACATTTTAATGTACAGTGATTTAACAGCTGTCATAATACAATCAAAAGTGGCCTTTTTGAATATAAATTAAAACTAAATATTCTCAATGCTATTTAACAATAACAAAAATGTCTTTGGGTTACCCAATATATAGAGGAAGGTAATTTCTTTTACAATATTTACTCTTATTATCTATGAGAAGTATAACTTAAATGTTAATATTTAACAAAAATTTGGTGGGGAACATGATTCCAAAAATTATAATTAATAGTCGTATTTGATTTTCCAGTGTTTTAGAATTATTTTCAGTTTGTCAAGAGTGTTTGTATTCTGTCTTTTATGCATATTGTTATTACCTCAGTTTTGTTCTATGGGAAAATATTTTTGAATACTAAGTATAATTTAAAAAACAGATTAGATCTATTTATTAAGATGCTTAGCAATTTGAAATTTATTTTGTGAAATTAAATTCCAAAGTACAAAAATGTTTGTGTATGGGTGGAATCTACTCTAGATTTTTAAACATTTTATGATCTAATAGTGACGATTGTGGACATATCTTGACAGCCAAATTTAATCTTTTCATGTTTTAATTAAGTATGTTTTAGAAACAAAATGTTGGTTGTGTGATCATACGATACCTAAGAAAGCAATGCTTCAATCATAAAAAAAATGCCTGTCGGTTTAAAAAAAAAAAAAAAAGAAAAAAGTGTAAATTATAAACCAAATTTGTGTTGGCCCTGACAAATTGATGAGGACAAAAAGATCTAAGCTTCTTGCCTCATAAAACAGAAAAAATAGGTAAACTTTAGGCTTTTTTTTTTTTTTTTTTTTGAGTAAATTTAAATATTGATAGGTTGCATTCTCAAATCATCTTGCTTTAAACATTAATCTTTTCCTTTTCATTAATTTTACGTAACATTTCTTCTATCATGAATATTTAAGAAAACTAGATTTCTAACCAATTTCATAAATGAAAATACTCAGGAAAATTTGTATTATAGGTCTCAGAAAATAACTGAAAAGAAAAAGACATTCTCTTTCCAAGATAATAGAAATAGCTGACTTTTATTATATTTATTTATTTTTTTATTTTTTTTTATTTATTTATTTTATTTTATTTTATTTTTTTTTTTTTTATTTTTTTTTTGTAACAACTATTTTAGTTCATTCACTGACTTGCTAAATGCAAGTGTATTTGTTTCTTCTTTTGAAGTCTAGTAAAAACAACAAACATACATCCAGACTTGTTTTTTTTAGTATTGTAATTTTATTATTATAACCTCAGCAAACCAATAGTGGGGTGGTAGGGAGAAAGGATCATTGTATTTTAATTTGGATTACATTTTTTTTTTTTTGTCTTTTCTTATTTGCTCTTCCTTTTTTACACACATGGCTTTAAAGGTAATGTAATGGTTTGGTAAAATATACTTAATATTATGAAATATTCAGCATCAGAATAAAATCTTTTAGAGATTATTTTGGGAATTGTTTAAATTTATAAATCATTCAGTATTTTCTGAATTCTTTTCAATATTTCTTGCTGTTGCTTTTGTACACCATTTAATAACTTTTTTTTATGTAAAGTAGTTATTTTTGTTCATCAGGGGTTACATTTTATATCTGTTGGAATAGGTTCTGTTTTAGACTTTACAAAATTATTCACAAATCCATTTTCCCAACTTTGTAGATTTCATATTATCTTCACCTTTTTGGATTAGATAGAAGAAGATAAAACAAAAAATAATGACTTTTTTTCATAAACTATAGTTGATGTCATGGATATACAGTGGTCTAAGAAAAGTTTTTAACCAGGAGAAATAAACTACATCCAATTTCAAAATTTAATTATGTAATCTCTACTGAACATAAATAGTATTTGGAACTAGTATAGAGTAAGTCCTCCATTTGCTAGTTTCAGTGCTTGTATTAGATTTTTCATGGATTTGATCAAATTATCAACAATCATCTGATCCATATTTTGCAACTCCTTTAGCAATGTTTCTTTAAGGGTTGCCACTGATGTGATTTTGGTTGCACACTTGAAGTTTTTGGTGAAGGTGCTCCCAAATATGCTCTATTGGATTCATGTCAGGACTTTGGGCTACCCATGGCAGTGACTTGATTCCTTGTGATAACTTCTAGGCCTTTGCTACTCTGCTCGTATGACATGGCACTCCATCTTCTTGATAAAGGTAGACATTCTTGTCAATCTGATTGGTTTCCAATAGTGGGAGTATTCCTTTCTGTAATATTTGACGGTATTGTGGACCATTCAACCAACATCGTCAACAGGAATCAGCTCAGATTTCCCTCCAGACCAGACAGTGTCCCACACCATTGCTCCAATCCCTCCATGTTTCACGGTCACCTGCAGACATTCCGTGTTCCAAGTCTCGTTCTGATTTCTCCAAATATAAATCTGTCTTAAATTCGAATATTGGCTGAATTTACTTTTCTATAACCATATTACAGACTGCCAAAATTCATGATCTTTGCTCTCAAATTCTTTTGCCCAGTCCATACACCTGCTCCTGTTAATCCCTGAAATCAAGGTCTTCTTTCTTGCAACTCTTCTTTGATAGCCTAGCTCTTTCAGAGTCTTTCTTACTACATATAGCGACATTTCCATGCTGTTAGTGGCATCTTTAACACTCTGACAATGGTTTCTGATGACTTCATCTTCAGTGCTCTTTTTATTCACTCGAACACAATGCTTGGTTTTCTTGAAAGTTGTTCCATGCGACAATGGCCTTCTTCATTAAATTTCTTGACAATATTATTAAGTCTTTGAGGATTAACCTGGAAAAACTTAGCAATTTCTCTATTTGACTTGCCATACTGATGCATTCCTATTATTTGCCCTCATTGAAATTCACCAATTATGTTACTTCTGTGAACTTTCATTGCAAAATATGTCAACTATCATTCATAGATTAGAGTAGCTTGATACTAACATGGTATTGTCTGAAAAAAAAGATACATTATTACACAAGCCAAAATTGCTGTAATTAAGGGTGTCTAAATACTTATAGCCCACTGTGTGTGTATCATTTATATGTTATCAGTTTTATGAATTTGAGAATGAATAAGAGGTTGTTAATTATACTTGATGTTCCATAACTTCCTGTAAATATTCAAAAACCCTTAAAGTATTTAACTTTGTTTCACAACAGTAGGGATACTCTTGAGTACTATTGTGAATATTTCATTATGTTGTAGTGTTTTTGCAGTTCAGGCACAATTAACTTGGAACTTATAAATGGGCAGCAAACATTTGATAATTGTTTTGCAAGTTCTACTAATGTGGAAAGGCTGTTAACCAATGAAAATAATGACTAACATTTATTTGAATATGCCCTTTGTGTCAGCTATTTCTTTTATACCTCATAAAGGCGTAGATTGTTTGTTGCCCCTCCCCCCAAAAAAAATCCATGCTGCTTAATTATTACAGAATGTAAAAATAATAACAAGCAACAAAAAGAGATGAAAGGACAAACTAGTAAAAAATGAATGATGACAATATTTCTTTGAAGAAATTCAAACAGTATCAAACATTGATATCTATTGATATTAGATGTAAACCAACAGTGTAGAATAAAAATCAAATAAAGAATGTAGCTACGTGACTAAATTTGAATTCCGTCTGTTGGTTCTTTTAAAGCCTAATAATTGAGATGTTGTCCAGACAAGTTCCCAAGGATAGAAAATGGAAGCTCAAATATTTCTTATTTATCCTGTTTACTTAAGAATCAGAATGTAAAAAGGGATCAGATTGTTGTGAAAAAGAGAGGAAAAAAAACAAAAAAACAAAAATGATATTTTTTTGTTCTTTCTTTCTTTCTCTCTCTCTCTAAAATTTAACTTTTTTATCAAAAAGTTATACAACTTTTATTTTTTTAGCTTGCATGTCTGTTTTATGTAATGCGAGAGTATTTGAAAATACTCTGAGGATATTTAGGAAACAGGTGTTTGCTTTAACTTTTTGATAATGTGAATGTACATTATAGCTCTCAAGATCACTTGTAAAATTTTGCGGTAATTATAAAAGATTCCCTAATATTAACAAAAAAAATTATAAACTATTTACTAAGGTAATTGTGTTTTGAATCCCAAAAACAAAAAAATTATATTACAAAATTTGACATTGTCTATTTAAGAAAAATCAAACTTGTTAATATTGCAAATATATTATGGAAATGTATTTTTGTTGATATATTTATCATTCATGAGTTTATTTTTAGTTCTTGTTAATATCATAATCTGAACATTCATCAAAAAGGGATTCATACTTATGTACTTACTTTTTTTTTTTTTTTTCTTTCAGATTTTTCTAGCTTATCACCAAATGAGGAAACAAACCAAATGATAATTGCTCTTTGGATACCATAATGAGCTTTAGCAGCGACGAAGTCAATTTCCTTGTATATAGGTACTTGCAAGAGTCAGGTTAGTTGACAAAAAATGCTTGAAAGAATTGACCATGCCTTTTATAGTTCTAGCCACTCATATTTAGCATATCTTAATATGCCTTTGGTAAAGGAGATAATTATTTTACCTATGCTTTGGGTGTTTGGAGATGGAGGCTGTTTCTATATTTGATTAAAGGCTGATAGTTTACTGAACAAAATTTCTGAGTTAATTTTTTTTGCCTCCATGAGATAACATTTAAGTTTCTGGTTTTCCTGCTTACAACATTATTACATCTTTTTATACTTGAAGTACTTCCAGATTTCTTGTAGCATTTCTCTATTTAAATATTGAAAATAACTTAAGGTAACATAATGCAATAACTGCATCTGAGAAAATACAGCCAGAAAATAAAGAGATATTGTGTGCCAGAAATTAGTTTATGAAATAGCTAGGAGAAAAACTATTATTCAGCAAAAATAAAAGCTGAAAGTTTTCTATTATGCAAGCTGATTCACCAATTTTGAGAAGCAGGTATTGAAAGATTAAGTTTTATTCAATTTGTTATGAATCAGAAATATAAGAATGAAAAAAAAACTTACCCTTATCCTGATCAGTATTATCACAAGGTATCTGAATTAAAATTTTTATTTAATACTTCCTCAGTCAAGCTGACATAATTATTTCTTATCTAGCAATGTTTCCCAGGCATGGTGGTTGAAAGCTTACCAAAAAAAATATCAGTTAAATAATTTGGAATAAAAGTCCAAATAAATAAAAAAGAGCAAATTCCAACTTAAAGATTAATTATTAATGATAAATAGAAAAGTTTTTTTTTTTTTTTGTTTTAGTAAAAGTTTATGATTTACATTAATATTTTTTAAATGGTCATGAAATGACTATTTTCAGTTATTAATAGTTTGGAAATTTGAATTCAGAGTACATCTTGATTAATAGCAAATTTTACTTTACTGCTTTCATAAAATCATTTTCTTCCATTCTATGCTAAGTTGGGTAGGATATAAAATAATCTTGTTTTTGTCTTTCCTCAAGCCTCTGAAAGTAATGATATTTTATTTCATCATTTAATTGATGTTACATACTGATTTTTTTTCTCTTTACATTCTTTATGGCAGGTTTTATTCATTCAGCCTATACATTTGGTATAGAAAGTCATATCAGTCAATCTAATATCAATGGAGCCTTGGTTCCACCTGGAGCTCTATTGAATATTATTCAAAAAGGACTACAATACACTGAAGCTGAGATTAGCATTGGTGAAGTAAGTAATTTTAGTTTGTTTTATTTATTTTTAAATAGTACCAATATTTCTTGTCAGTTACTCAAAGATATACCAATTATTGCTATATACCAATTATATAAAGATATACTAATTATACAAAGCTTTTCAATCGTCAGTCAAATTCTGTTCCTCTAAGGAACAGAATTTGACTGACGATTGAAAAGCTTTGTATTTAAGATTAGTGACTCAGACAAATTTTTGTCTAATGAATTGAAATTTTAGCTGCACTTATAAAAAGAAATTAAGAAATTACTATTTCTATTAAAGAACAGCATTATGTCTGAACAGTTAAAAAAAAAATTGCCCATATCATTTTGAATTTGTTTACTTTAAAGCAAATAGATTTAAATTCATTATTTACCTGGAAAACAATAAGCTTGAATTGTAAGGGGAGATTGTTGCATTAAAAAATCATGGGTTTTTGACAGTGATTTACCATTTTGCTCAAATATATATTTACCTTTTAAAACCCATATGTATACAAGCACAAATACCTTCACTTGAAAATGCAGTATGAAAGAAGTAAATTTAATGCAAACTTGCAGGGCATAAAATGTATCTTGCATTCTTAAACAACACTTTGTGTATTTTAGAATAATTTCTATCAAAACTATTTTCTACCACACCTGGGGCTTAGGGCCATATCATGTTGAAAGACTGATTCTTGTACAATCACTGAAGTTAAGCAACATTGAGATTGATCAGTACTGAAATGGGTTACTGTTTAATAATGCCAGGTGCTCTAAGCTTGGCTGGTGTAATGAGTAATGTCTCAAAATTGAAAATCAGAGAGCTAATTCCAGTTGGGTTCATTATATTCACTTACACATAAATGCCCCCAGGAAAGGTATGAATGCAACTCTTCTCCCACCCAGCTATGGGTTAATTAGAACTTTTATCAGTAAATCATTAAAAAAAAAAAAATCTTACTCTAAAAATATATTTTCTGGCTTTAGATAACCTGCAAAAGGGTAAACAGTAAAAACAAACCAATTAATCTTATTACATCTGAAATCAAGAATAAAATGCAACAATTTTTCTTTTGTCATTTAGAGACGAGCTTATATAGTCTCCCAACTGTCATTTTCCATCTGCTTTTATAAACACCTTGCCAGTTCAAGTTAGATTTCATATATGTTGATGGTGATTTTAATTTTCAATGAGTTGAATACTTGAAATGGTATAAAAGTTTTTCTCTTGGTAAACTTGGTTCCTTTAAAGTTTATTCAGTAAGATTAGTGACTAAAAAAGTCTTTTTGACTAATACGAATCTTCAACTTTTGTTAAAAACAAATACAAAAAAAAATACAAATTTTTTCTACTTCAACAGATATTTTTTAGAGCAGTTGTGTTGGCAAAAACCCTTGAAACATTAACAAAATTTGGTAAGGTTTAAGAAGTTTTTAGTTTTGAAGAGATAAAACACTATAATTTGGACTGAGCTGCTATCTGAATTATTGAAAATTTGAAAGAATTTATTGTAGATGAGAAATATTTGCTTTCATTAAGCAATTCAAAGATAAACATTTATGATAGTGAAATTGTTGTTTGAGAGAAAAATTTTCTTATCCAGTCATTAAGGAGAATTGTCATGGAGATAGAAACTCTTATCATATAGTATAATAAAATTCTGAAGTATCAAGTTAGAAGTATAGAAGAATTCACTGATATGAAGAAATAGTTGACTAAACAAGACTTTTCCATACTTTGCATTAAAAAGAAAGGGGAAAGCTTTTGAAACTTTGAAACACATGTGTTTTAATATTATTCATTTGTGAAGACAAAGAAACTTCAAGAAATGATCCTTCATGATAACCTTCAGTATTTGAAATGTAAGATGTTGAGCCAATAAAAAAAGAGGAATATTATAAAATAAGGTGAGAACATGTTAATAAATTCTGCATTGGGAAGTTGTTGAAAGGAGAGAACTTCAAATTTTTAACTCCAAAAGTTTGGGATATTCAGAGCAGTCTATTGAGAAACCCAGTTAACCATCAAGTTGATCAAATATTTAGTGAAGTCTCAAATACAAGTTTATAATTTTAATGGAAAGATCATAGAAAGAAAAACAGGTGATCTTATTAATATATACAAGTAATAAGATGTTAAAATCTTGCCTAAAGATACAGACTATTGTTGAAAGTATCTCTGTCTTGATCGAGTAAGAGATCTGGAAGCAAAAAAACTGGAAACAAACATTGAATAACCTGTGCCACATACCATGTGAATATTGGAGTAAAGTCTTGTTTAGTTGTCAAATTGCAAAGCCAGATGCAAGAAGTTCAATGTCAGCAGCCAGCACCACAACTTGAATGGGATCTTGGAGAAGTTGGTAAAAATGAGTGCTTCAAACATAAGAGTATAGCATTGTCAGGGAAATTTTTGGAGGATTACAAAAATTTGAATACTGAATTCAGTATCAGTGACCATCCTGACTCAGAAATGTGCCAGGAATGATGGTATGATTTGTATGCATCTGTTTAACCTGATGAAAGCTTTCCTTTACTGGGAAGAAAAAAAAATTGTTTCAAGATATTCTTAGGTCTAAACAGTATATTCAATATAATGGCAGTGATTTTGAGTTTTTTGCATTTCTGCTGAACCCTAGATGCAAGTGATTTGCATAATCATTTGCATTACTTATAAGTACATATTCTGCTCTTGGAGAGGGATATAATTTTTAAAGTAGACTTTTAATGAAAGTATGTACACCAATCTTCAGGGATTATGCCAAAGAGCATCTAGAACAAGAAGTTGATTTTAAGAGTACAATTGGAATTTGGCCCCCAAATCATTTTTTTTGAATTTCAAGAAAATTGGCCTCTACCAGAAAATTAAAAAAAAAAAAAGCATATCACTTGTATATCAGCTAAAGCAAAATAACACAACTCACAACTTATCAAAAGAAAAAAAAAAAAAAATCCAACCGAATACTACCCAGATAAAACGTTTCTAATTATACTTCCCTGGCCTAAAAGGATCACAAAAACCAAGAAATTGCAAAACAGTTTTATTTTAACTCAATATAACTTTATGCCCAAAAAACTGATTCAAAGAATACGGTGCTGGCCTTATATGACCCTTTGAGGTAGATAGGCCATTAAACAAACAAACAAACAAACAATTGGAATTTCAAGACTGCAGCAGAAAAAACAATTGGAAAACTGCGTGAAATCTGTGTCTTTGTGTGCACACACACACATATATATATATATATATATATATATATATATATATATATATACATATATATGGAAAAAACAAACAAAAATCTTAATATGCAATTATGCTGTATTAATGTTAATATAATGTCAATGTCGGATGTTTCGGTCTATTTTAGACCATCATCAGGACATATTCATAAAACATAATTAACATTAGAACATATACAAATTCAACATGAAAAAGACGATGGACATAAGAGCACGACTAATCCAAACAGATAACTGAAATTTTTATATAAGATTAGCGTTCCGTTTCACAACATCGCCCACGTGATGACGACATGATCATATTTAAATGGAACGCTTTATTTATATTTATTAGGTTTCATTCTTTTACACTATGCTGACATGGTTAAAATAGTGACCCTCTTATTAGCCAGGTGGTTGTTGATGTATCAAATCGAATAGATATATATATATATATATATATATATATATATGGGGGTTATTGTGAATTTGGGTATATTTCTAATTATGTACAAAATTAGGTCAAAAATTGTTAGCTAGATGTTTTGATTTAAAAATTTACCCACAAAATTATGAGCCCACCATTTAGTTTTGGATATAGAATAATTTTTTTTTAACAATGTCTTTTTTTTTTTTTTTTTTTTTTTAGAATTGACTTAAAATATGAATGCATGTTGGGTTCAAGTTTTCAGTTAAAACATCTAAACACAAATGGAAACCGTATGTTTTGTGAGCCAAATGTATCAATTATTTGGCTACATTGGTTTTCTTTTCTTAAGTATTTTATTGCTAGAGTGAGAATTTATTATCAGGGGAAAAGTATTAATGTTTTCCAGTTTTTTAGTGAAATTTTCATATTCTAAATATTTTCTATTACTCAAAATGTTCATGAAATACACATTTTGTTCATTATAAATACTTTAGCAGAATGTAAATCTGAACCAATGAGAAAACATTTAATCAAATGTTCCTTTTTATTCAAGAAGTTACATTGAAAACATTGATTTAATGTTTCTGTTTAGTAGCAGCAAAATGATATTAAGTGGTAGGGAGTACTGACTCAAAAAAAAGGTCATTTTTCTTTTTTTTTCTTTTTTTTTTTTCTTAAAATGAGTAAAGTTGCCACCTCTAAAACCGAATTATCAGAAATTTCAATGAATTTCTATGAAAAACAATAATTGAACCATTCTTGCATATAAAGCTCTTTTGATATTAACAAAATGCTTGAATGTAGTAATTTAATTGAATGACTTAAGCGATAGGAATCAACATGAAAGCTGAAAATACCCAATTATGTGAAATCTGACCTTTCTAATTATTTACACTATTATTTTAGAATTATTGTCCTCCTTTTTGCTATTATCACATTTTCATCCATTGTGCCCTCTGGCCTTCATCAGGTGTATATTGATCTGGAATTTCTGAACTGAACCCTTTATTTAATCTACAAGAGTATATTGTTCTAGTTCCAAACCCATGTTTCGGGTTATCTCTAGTTTTTATTTTTAGTACTTCTCAGTTATTGCTCGTTCATTTCTGTTGAGTCCAAGAACACCCTGCCTGGACCAGTGATTGAACTCTTTAATTCATGGAGCAACACTTTAATTACTAGGCTATTGTTCCATAGTGTAAATAATGATAACTCCTCATTCCAGAAATTCAGACAGAAATGACCTTTCTAACTTTTTGTCAATTGAAAACAATTATTTTTAATATGCAACCATGAAATATTGACAAGATTATTTGTATGGTAAAATAATGTTTATGCAAATCAGCCAGGTATATATAATGATCAACAACACAGTGATTTGGAAAATTATCTCCCAAATTAAGTTTTGAGAATGTTTTAGCTTTTCATTGAAGTTGTATCATCTTCAGTCTTTTGTATTATATGTTGTTACAAAATATCTTATTGTGAAGAAACTTATCAGTGGTTGCACAACCCAGTGGAGTTAGATGAAGCACAAATCTCCAAGCCAGAGAATGGATTGATTGATTCAGTCCTTTTTTGGAGATTATATTATTTCCCTAATTGAAAAATTAAGTTCTACCAAATTAAAACAAGTTTATTAACAGTTAAATGCTTGAATTTTTTCACATTTAGCAAATCCACAAAACTGTAGGTGTAGATAGAATGTTTAGTTTAACCAAGAAGAACCCACCAACAATTAAAAGTTGTAATTAATAAAACCAAATATAGTTTATTAAAGAAACATCAGTAAAATGCCATTCTCATTTCAATCAGTTGTAACTTCTATTATAGTCATGATCTTTTTATAATTTCATTATTCTTTAAAGTGAATATAATTTTTCAATCTTTAGTCACATTCCCGTTTTCAACATACTTATCTCTCTTTTCATGACCTTCAGTGGTGGGCATGAGTCCATTGTCCATTTGTAAGGATGAAACTTTCAGTTCACAGGTACTTCAATAACAGTATACAGAAATAAACAATAATTCAACATCGTAGATATTTCATTTTATGATAAATTTCTTTTATTCATTCATAATAGCCCTTAAACTTAGAAAAAAAATAAAATAAAAATGGCACATACTTGGCATATTTCAGATTATTGGGTGGCAAACTGCTAAAACTGAAAATAATTAAAAAAATAATTAGTTTTTGAAAACTTCATAGGATCACATTTTACTTTTAAATAAAATAAATCTAGACTTAAGAAATTTGTATTTCATTTAATAAATTTTTCTATATTAAAATCACAAAGCATTTTTAATTGCAAATTCAAAATTTTTTAACACATTTTTGTTGCTTGAAAGAATATGCATGAAAAAAGTTTACAACATTAACCATAAATTTAGAAGCTGATGTTAATATTCTCGATTTAAAATTTTTGTAGAAGTAACTACAATTTTAAATGTTGAGCTTGTATTTCTATTATAATAAGTCTTTGCGTGAATAAGATAGACATAATTTTGTAATTGTTAATTTGAAATAGATTTGTACCTCCCTATTTTAATTGTGATTTCAGGATGGCACCGAAAGAGTGATTGAGTCTCTTCCACTCATAGATGCAGTCATGCCAGATGTGGTAGAGTCTCGAAAGCAGGCTGCTGCCAAAGCACACCAGATTAAAACTGAAAATGCAAATACAAATGGAGAAGATGCTTCACATTCATTAGGTGAGTAAGTCAACCACTAAATCAACATTAGTTCACTTTTTCTTTTATTCCCATTTTATTTTGGAAAAAATTATTGGCTTGAATAATCTAATCTTTTACTTTTCAGAAAATTGAAAAAAAAACAAATTAAACTGTCTTCAACTATGAAAGGGAAATAAATTATGAGGGTGGGGTACTGAAATCTTTGATCCAACTTATTTCCAAAAACTTGATTAAAGGCTCAAACCTTTTTTTCATTGGTGGGTAAAGAATCTTTATTTCGATGTGCAAAATCTTGAATATTGTTTATAACAATGACAAATTTTGACTTAATAATAGGTCAAAATGTGAAATTTGAAGGGAAATCAGATTTTTTACGTGTCAGTGATCAATATAGGGAATCATTGAACCTAAATTATAATTAAAGGTTTTAATCATGTTAAAATGTTTCAATGTTGATTGGTGTCAAACAAACAAAACTCAAAACGTCCTGGCAGCAATATGAAAAATTTATTTAAATTGTACTTTGAATTAGTTTTCCAAGTATTTTTTTTCTCTCCAATGAAACCTTGATTATTTAAGTTAAAATTGGCTCATGTAGTTGTCTTTCACTTTTCAATATAAATAACCATCTATACCAGGGTTGTATTTTTTTGTGTATTCATAATTTTCTCAAAAACTTAGTTAAACACATGAAACCATATATATTCTGAATTGGCATCACTCAAGAAAGGGTTTTTGATGCCATTTATTTGGACCTATTGCAATTTATATCAATCTTCAAAAAGTGATTTATCAATTTTTTATGTGGAATCTAATTTTACCTGGCAATTAGATTGTACTTTTACCAAGCATTGTTTAGCTCCTACTCTTCTTTTTTTTTTTTTTTTTTTTTTTTTTTTAAGTTTCAAAAAGATTTTCAATTTTTTTTTGCTCATAAAGTGATGTTTGCAGTTGATAGTAAATTGATATTCACTACATTATTTATTTAATAACCTCTGACATTAAAAAAAATTCTTAAAATCAGTTATCTGTTTTTATTGATCAATGTTTCATTCAGTACCTGAGCATTGTCAGATTTACAGCTAGTCTTTAAGAACTCAAATCTTTTTATATTTTAGCAAAACCTAAACCCCATTTTATAGCAAGCATTGAGAGTATTTTGATTTGGTGCTGCATTATTTTAAAAAGATATATATACACACATAAAATGAATGAATATTCATAACTACTTTAACATATATTCACCTTTTATTGTTATAACTAATATTTGAATTTACTGAGTTTGTATTTTCATGTTATTTTGTTTTATTCTTGTGAAGCATGTTCATTCAAACCCTATTTTACATTCCTTGTGTAATTACTTAAGATAAATTGATAACAACAACAATATGTTGTTAAACTTTGAAAATTGGTTTGCATTTAGTGGCAGCTAATTGAAACATTTTCTCTCCTCCAAATTGCAGCTGTCTTTGTGTCTTGCTTTCTCTTCTATTAGATCTACATAATGTATGCAATCACAACAAAGTTGTTTCTACATTTTATTTATGACTACTACCAACAACTGCTTTTTCCTCTTACTATTACTGGATTCCATGTTATATGAGAATCATTTTAGCTTTAAACAATTGTGTATCAATAAATTGTGTGTTGCTATTGGATAACAAAACTGCTGGTCTGACCTCAAAGTGCACATGTACTAAAATCTGCAATAGACTGAGTAACCCGTCACTGAAATCAAATGGCCTTGACATCTTCTGCTTCTCCATCTTACTGTCTTCGATGCAGCAGGCTCTGTGCATGCATACACATATAACAAAGCAGTAGCAGCAGCAATAGTGACAGCAGCTGCAGTGATAGTAATAGTAGTTGCTGCTAATGGTGGCTGGTAGACATCCATTTGAAAAATTAAGGCCAACTCGAATCACTCTTCAAAAGATTATTCTCTGAGAATGAACTTAATGTATCAAGGACATAATAAAATCTATTTTCTCTCTCTCTCTCTCTCTCTCTCTCTCTCTAATAGATGACAATGAGCAGATTGTTGAAATTTTTATACATTTTGACATGAAAATGGCAACATACCTTTTTGTATGTTCATTAAAACAGTAAAATAAAAAAGAAAAGAAAAATATTTAACAAGCATGTTGACATATTTCTTTTTCTTCTCCTTTGCATTAAATGCTGGATTGTCTTCCATTTTGCTAAATAGGTTCAAGCTTGCAGGCAATATATTAATCTTTTATCCACTTTACTAAAGAAACAACTATAAATTTTATAATTTTTATTTTCTTAAAAATTTAAACAACTCTAAATGCTGCAATTGCCCACTAATATGGCTTCTAATAATAATATATTTAAATCTAATTTTTAATTTTAATAATAATGAAATAGAATAATAAACTGCTGATAATAAACATTTTGTAATAAAGGGCAATGTTTATCAACATGAAAAAATCTCTTGTGGGGGGGAAATTGTGATTAACTGATAAAAAGTATATTGGGCTAATCTTAAAATTTCACCAGTAGCTAATATTTTAGTAGCAGGGTTTAAAATTAAATATTTATATTTAATTTATAGTAATTAACTATTTGTATTTCATGTCAGTATACTATATGCAAAAGTAAACTTTAACTTTTTGTTGCCAGTTTTATTTTTATATATCAACTGAATTTGACAGAACCACTTTCCTTGTCTATCTTGGAAAATGGCATTTTATAAGTATAGAATGTTGTCAGTAAGATTCATTAGATCACCAACATAAACTATGGCATATTTTTTTAACTGTGAATTCAGTTTGTGTCCACTTATATCACTGTTTGCAATATTTAATTTTATCATTAAAATTCTGAAATGTATATTTGAAATATTTATAAAATAGTTTATGAAAACTGTATATTCCTCACTCTATGGCCATTTTAAATTAGTCTCTATGATTTTAGACATAAATGTCCCCCACCACACCCCCAATGTCTAACCTAGAAATTGTGGTCTCAAAATTTTTTTGTTATTTTGATTTATTATTTAAAATAAATGTTATCTACTTTAAATCCTACTTTTTATCAACTTACAAATTACTTTATCCAAATTTTTAAATTCTTCCCAGTTATTCTTTTTTGAAATTCATACCTCAGAGATTAAGTTTGATTTGTGGTTGTCAAATATATACTTAAGAAAAAATGATTGGTTATGAGTTGACTTTAATTTTTTTTTTCTTTTTAAGTTGTTTAAATTATTTCTGAAAATATAAATTGCATGACATAGTTAAAAAAGAAAAAGCAAATCAGTGAAATTATTTAAAAAAAAAAAAAAAGTTTAAGCAAGAAGAATAGAAAGTTGATAAGATATTTGCTGTAGGATTAAGTATTAAACAATAACTTCAGATAGTAAATAAATGTACTAGAAACACTGGAACAAATTTGATTCTAAATGTATTTTGTTTTATAGCCACTGTGAAATTTACTCTTTGATTTTTAATAGCCAAAATATCACATCATATCTGTATACCTGTAACTTGTTTCTACTTTTTAATGTTTAGTATTGTTAAAAAATAAAAGTAAATTCTTTATATTTTAAATTTATTTCTCTTTACTTATTTTTAGTAAACCATACGGATGCTATGGACATAGATGGCACTTTAGAGATTCCCAGCAGCAAGGCTACAGTACTGAAGGGACATGAATCTGAGGTGTTTATATGTGCATGGAATCCTACCAATGATTTGCTAGCATCTGGGTAAGTATAGACTATATATAGAGAGAGAGATATTTTTTTTTTTTGTTTACAAAGTCATTAGACAAATAGAAAAATTGATTAAAATTTTTACATAATATAAAGGAAATAGTGAAATTATATCGAAATATTGATTAAATGTCTATATAGGCTCCATTCTTTGCATGGTAGATATCTAAGCCCCCCCTGCTCCAAATTTTGGCTCAGTGGTTTATATTTATCTTGCTTTTCAATGCTATTATGTAACAGACAGAAAACATTCCTTTATTAACAAACATAAGTTACACATACAAGTGCTTCAGTAAATTTGAAGCCTGATACTGTTGTAGGTTGAATTTTGATCTGAAATATTTACTTTTAAATGGTGAAGTATTGGGTTAAATGGATTGATAAAGCAGGAAGATATTTTTTAAAATATTTCATATAAAATGCTTTTGGTTTTGTTTTCTCTCCCTCTCCGTCATTTGGCTAGTTTTACTGACTTATGTATTGCTGATAATGAGGGAGATACGTTAACACTTAACAATTTCAACAAAGACATTATTTTTTTTTTTTTTTTTTTTTTTAGAAATGCTTTGTTCCTTCAGAGCATAAGCAATTACAATTCTCCAGATTCCTTTTTTTTTTTTTTTTTTTTTTTTTTTTTTTCCTTTTTTTTATTTAACCCTTGCTTTTCTCATTGCTTTTCTCTATAGTTCTGAATTCAGAGTAGTTCTTTTCTTTGATTGGCTGCTAGTCAAAGCTAACCCAGTCTACCCAGCTGCATTTTTACCTGAAAACACTTCATTTTATTTCTTGTTCTTGCTCTGTTCATTAGTATGATTTTGTTTTCCATGTGATTTGTTTACATCTTATTATTACTTTCCCCCAAGCAAACCCCTCTTCACTTTCATGTATTAACAAGTCATTTTTTTAATTTTTCTGTACCTATTATTTTCTCTTTTCAGCTCTGGTGACTCAACAGCAAGAATTTGGAACATGAATGATAATAGTAACAGTGCCAATCAGTTGGTTCTTCGCCATTGTATACAAAAAGGTGGAACAGAAGTGCCTAGTAATAAAGATGTTACTTCCCTCGATTGGAATGTAAATATACCTTTCTTTTATATCAAATGATATACTGAAAATAGATTAGTGTGTGTCGGGGTTTTTTGACAAATATTTTTCATTAAAAACTTTTTCAAATTAAAAAAAAATTACATTGATGAAAGATGTGTGATTAGAATATAGACATCTATTGGCAAAGCTGTATTTTTGGCACTCTATTGGAGGAAAGTTGCTATTAAATAAACAGTATTTTAGTATAACATTCAACTGGATATGATTAATTCTGTCAGTTAAAATGTAATAGGGAAAAAAAATTTAAAAATTTTTCCCATTATTTGAATCTGTGTTGCCTTTTAAGATAATGGTGAAACATTGCTTGATTCATTGAAGAATGATAACTAATTTAGTAATTCTTTTTCTCCATATCTTATTCTCTGATGCAGCTTTAATATAAGTGAAACATGTTTAATTGATAAATGTTTCTTATTTGTTTATCTTATCATTGTCAGATTCCAATCCATATTTGAGTATATTTATTGTAATTCAATAAGTATTTTTATTAATGTAAACATTTTGTAATGATTTTCATGAGTATTTAGTAATTTAAAGACAACTGCACATGCTTTATACCTTTTTGATCTTCTCCATGATACCTAAATTATTAATATGCATTGTATTTTCACACACATATGTGCACACACACTTTGTTAGTTAATCCCAAATCTTTTAGCACTTGAACATTAAACCCTGCATTTCCAATGTTTGGGAAGGTAAATTCCTATTTTTTCTTTTCTTTCAGTGTGATGGTACACTCCTAGCAACAGGTTCTTATGATGGCTTTGCAAGGATATGGAGTACTGATGGTTGGTCAACTTGTATATTTTCTCAAAAGAAAAAAAATACACACACACTTGATATTTTCTCTTATGCAACTTTTTAAATATAATTTCCATTATCATTTCATTTTTTTTTTCTCCAAGTAGTTAAGCAAAGGTTTATTGATTTGCACTGAAATATAATGTTTATTAGCTGAGGAACTGAAGTAAACACTACATTATATCCACAGCTCTCAACATTAGGCATTGCTACTGTGGTTTCTATAGCAAATAAGGTTTTACATGATCAAGTTGCTAGTCCCATACTCAACTGGTTCTCATTTACCAAGTTGTCTCACATCTAAGTACTAACCAGGTTACTGCAATTTAGAGGCCATGAAAAGGAAGTAATATTAATACTGTAGGGTGCTAAAGATTAATAACTATATTATGTTAAATACTGAAAAAGATAAATGAATTCCTTTCCATTCAGACTAGCATGCTCATTTTCATCTGTTGTACTCTCCAGCCTTCTTCAAGTGTCTGTCTTTGTACTATGTAATCTTCTAATTTTGAACCACAACAGGTAGATTGTTCTCATTCCACGGGAGAAATCTTCTGGTGCATAATTCTCTAATTTTATTTCACTTTTGTGTTGCTTGTCCAGGGACGTAATTCACAACAGCCAGGAAACCAAATATGGTTTAATCAATGTTTGATCCGCTAGGCAACATATCTCTTGAAAACAATCTGCCCTCATCACAGGACTCCAGACTAACTTTTAACTATTCACAATCAAAAGAACGTTCAAAAAAATTGCAATTACTTGACTCTTGTTACTTGTTTTTTTATTATTTTAAAAATTTTCCCTTGTATTTTTAATTTAGTTTATGATAAACAGAAAACAACAGAAATATGTTGTTTGTTAATGATTTATTCATCACTCTATGGCCATTTTATAAGTTTTTAATAAAAAGTTGACAGGAAAAAAAAGATAATCTTTTTGCTTTGTATATTAAAACAAGTCCTTCAAGCTTCATTTCTTTGGCTGGGTGGGGGATAAAAAAAAAATGTTTTTTCTTTTTTCTCTCTCTCTCTTCTTTTTTTTTTTTAAGAAATTAGTTGCTTTCAGAATTTGGATCATCCTAAAACCTTTAAGCAATTGTTCTAAACTGATGTTTTATCAGCCTTAGAACAAATTCAAACTCTAGCTCATGAAATAAATAAAGGGTTAGATTCAAATTTTCAAGGTGTCTTACTGAGCATGACAGTTTCTTGAAGGTCAGAAGCTAAAATAGCTGAACCATTGATTATAATAAGCAAGATAAATATACTTGTCTAAAAATTTGCAAATAAAAGTAATTGAATTCATTTACCTCTTAGTTGCTGTTTGTACAGGTATTGTGGCCATAGTTTGTTTTCTCTTTCAGTTTCATTTCTTATAATCAAGTCAAACTGATAACCAATTACATTCAATGATAGCTTTAAACAAGTCTAATAAAATAAATGCTTTTGATAATGTTTCAAAGCTAAATAATTTCCATGGAAATAGAATGTAATATCAAGTCTTCTCAGTTATCCATTCAAATACATGATATGTTTGCTAATATGATATTTAATCTTTGTAGACTGTTTATATTTATATATTTACCCTTTTTTTTTTTTTTTTTTTAAATCTGTTTAAGACAATCTTTGTAATTACATATTTGTTTCTTTTGCTAGGAGAAAAAAATAATTGATTTTGAAAAGTCATTTTCATCATAAACTGTAC